GTCATATTCCTTTATGCACATATTCTGATTTCACATTTCTTAGTTTATATGCAAAAATGCATTCATAGCATTCTATTTCCATGTAAATTACTGCTTTATGTAATTGTTATCTTATTGCAATTTAACTGTATTTTATTACGGTGTAAAACATTGTGTTTTATATTAGATTTCTTGTTTTTTATATATGCACCATGACATCAAGTCAAATTCCTAGTATGTGCAACCTACCTGGCAATAAACCTGTTTCTGATTTTGATTCTGATAAAGTGTGACAAAACCTTTTATGCAATTGACAGTGATAAAGGGATTAGGTTTTCATTAATGGAGGAATAATTTTCGTAAATTAAAGAAATTAACTGTATTCTTTCATTTCATTTTATTAGACGAAGTGTGCAGAAAGAAATGGAAGACACTGAGGGACAAGTACAGGAAGGAGAAACAAATTGAAAAGGAGGGGAAAAGAAGCGGTGCAGGGTCTTCGGGGGGACATAAGCCCTGGCATCTCGCGGCAGTCATGACTTTTTTAAACCCATTCATGATTGACCGTGAGACGTCCAGCAATGTCTCCCGGCAAACCCTTCCTCCATCCACCCTGGTGCCAGAGGAAGAGAGCCAGGAAAGCCAGCCAGCCAGTCCAGCCAGTCAGCCAGCCAGCCAGCCAGTCAGTCAGTCAGCTAGTCAGCCAGCTAACAGCCAGCAAGCAGAGCAGACAGGACAGGAGGAGGCGAGTGTTGCGATCCGGGGGAAAAGGGGAAGTGAGATGTCCTCCTTTCAGCAAAGTTTGCTGTCTGCCGTCGGTCCTATTCTGGCCATGCCACCACCACACCCACCAGTGGTGGTGGAGGAGGACGAGGACCTGTCATTCTTCAAGAGTCTCTTGCCCACCATGAGAGTGATGTCAAGACAGAAGAAGTTAAGAGTCAGATTTGACATTCACAAGGTGGTTTTAGAGGCAGACCAGGAGGAAAATGTATTACTGATACTGATCCACATTACATGTTTTTACACTCATCACACACTTCACTGACAACATTACATAAATAAAAGTTATTTAAAGTATGTTATGGCTCTACTGTGTCTTCACTTGTTCATGTAGTTTGTCAGTTGCAACATACCAGAAGCTTCATGTATGTCGATATATAATGTGCCGTCTTCTGTAATTGTTCAGGTGAAAACCTTTTGTAATCATGGGTGGTTTATCAGTAAAAACAGGGCTGAAGGAAAAAGGTTGTTAGTCATATCATAATATAATAATATCAATTCAAGAAACATGTTTATTAGGAATGTTTTATTTTAAAATGGCTCATTTGGAATATTTGCTTTTTAAAGAAAATATGGGTAGCTCTTAAAAGAGCTTTTGGTTTGTAGACAATGGTGACCCTCACCCTACACCACATTCTTCTGCCATCGCACTGCACCCTCCTCATTGAAGTAGGAGCTGAAGGTCTCCCTCAGTTGGATGGATCTGCGTGTGGCATTGTTGGAGCCCATCCTCGGTGCATCACGCAGGGTTGAAGGAGCTGGAGCTTCATCTGTGGACTCTGCGATAGGTGTGCATGATGGCCTTCCCATCGTCTTCCTGCGGAGGAAGAGATCTGCACTCAAAACTACATAAACACTTTCCAAATGCAAACTTTTGCACCAAATATAACACACTTCATTTATAATACTAGATTGTTTGACCACCCAACAACACACTGCTGAGCATACTCTAAAGCACTTTCATCTGTTATGGGCTGTGCTCTGTACAGAGAGGTTTCTGCAGAGAAAGATTGCTTGAGTTTACAGAAATACAGTAAATGAAGAAATACAAATGAGTTGTTGAACAAAAATCACATTTTACAGTTTTTCTCGATTGCTAACACACTAAAATTATACATAAAGCACAATTATTTTAACTGACACTCAAAGAGCAAAACATCGGCTCAAATCTCCAAAACTCTAAACACGTTTTCAGCTTTTCACACAATTTTCAAATCAACATGGCACTTTTTGCAAACCACTGCACACGTTTCTCCACGTAAGACACAGGAATCTGACATGAAGTCACGTGTTAGCAGGTTTAAAACACTGATATTCAAAATGCCTCACACATGGACCAATGATCAAGAAACACGTTCCACCTGACCAAACACCTGATAGCATCATTGTTGGCTCATCAATCAGGATGTTAGCACTATAAAAAGACCACAGCTGAGTACTTTCTTACAGTAACAATGGAAGCCAACATGGAAGCAAGAGCAAGAGCAAGAGCAAGAGCAAAAGCAAGAGCAAGAGCAAGAGCAAGAGCAAGAGCAAGAGCAAGAGCAAGAGCAAGAGCAAGAGCAAGAGCAAGAGCAAGAGCAAGAGCAAGAGCAAGAGCAAGAGCAAGAGCAAGAGCAAGAGCAAGAGCAAGAGCAAGAGCAAGAGCAAGAGCAAGAGCAAGAGCAAGAGCAAGAGCAAGAGCAAGAGCAAGAGCAAGAGCAAGAGCAAGAGCAAGAGCAAGAGCAAGAGCAAGAGCAAGAGCAAGAGCAAGAGCAAGAGCAAGAGCAAGAGCAAGAGCAAGAGCTGGGCTGAGAGTGAGAGTGAGAGGAGTGAGAGGAGGAAGAATGAGAGGTAGAGGTGGAGGGATAGGACGTGGACAAAGAAGAATACTCTCTAATGAAATGAAATGTTATCAACCATGGTTTGACGATGAGAGAGGCTGGACAGAGGGTTCAGCCTAATCTAAGCCGATGTACTGTCGCCTCTGTAATCCGGACACCAAGACTTGAAAACAGGTTAGTTACCAGTTTGTAGCTCTGCATAGTTCATGATATATCAGTGCTTATATCTGTTGTGTGAAACGTATTTACTTCATTACTGTAATTGAATTGTTGGCATGTTGTATACTATAACTTTACAGAAATCCTGCACAATGTACTGTGGTAAACTTACTTTTATGCAACACAGACACTGACCGACCACTATATCTTTGTTGTTTATCTGAAGGACTGAGAAACAAAGAGGTGGAAGGCTAAGGATTTCCAATGAGGCACAGGAAGCAGCAGTTACAAACTGGGTTTTGGAAAACAATGCATCACACTTAGAGAGATCCGAAGCATAGTAACTATGTGCTGAGATGCATGTTGCACAATGTTATCTTTGGATAAAATGTGATTTATTTTTCAACAACTCATTTACTGTATTTCTGTAAACTCAAGCAATCTTTCTCTGAAACCTCTCTGTACAGAGCATAGCCCATAACAGATGAAAGTGCTTTAGAGTATGCTCAGCAGTGTGTAGCTGGGTGGTCAAACAATCTAGTATTATAAATGAAGTTATATTTGGTGCTAAAGTTTGCATTTGGAAAGTGTTTATGTAGTTTTGAGTGCAGTTCTTCACTTAGCAGGAGAAATTAGGAGTTTTGCACTTTGGGTGTGTGGTTTTGTGAATTGTGTTTAGTGTTCTGAGAAACTGAGCGATTTAAAAAAAAAAAGTGTGTTAGCAATCGAGAAAAACTGTAAGCTGACTGTCAATCATACACCACTGTAGGATTAGGAAACAGCAAATGCATTCAAATATATTTGAACAATTTCACTTTCAGTTCTCAGGAACTTGATTTTTTTTGAAAAATTGACCTTCCTAATCCCAAGAGGAATGTTTCACTTTAACAGAACCATAAACAAACACAATACAGATTCTCTCCCTGTTTAAAAAAAATTGAAAGCTGGAAACGTGAAGCCGAGGAAGAATGATGTCACGCATCCTTGAAGGAGCTAGTCTATAGGAACATGTCCATGTGCAATTTCAAACTCTATAACAAAATAAAAGAGGTTCTAATTTAAGAAACCATTTTTATATATAGGCCTATCAACATCATCTAGGAGGGTTTGGTCCATAAACACTACCTGGAATTTGATTAAGGGCCAAACCAAATCAATGAGGTGACAAGTGGAAAACAACCGGGATTTATTACAAAAGCTTGGATTTTTTTTCAGTTCACCCAAATTAATTTACAATGGTAATTCTGAGTGCTAAACTCCAGCAGCGCATTGCCAAAGCGCTCGAAGCATGGAGGGCAGGGCCGTGTCCCTTCTCAGACCTTTGGTATATGCAGTCATCTGAATGAACAGGCAGAAGGGAAGGATGATCCCCTGTGGTGAGCATGTGTGTGTACAATTTTTCTAATAAACTGCTATTTCCTAAGACTCTGTTGTCTGCTGTTAAAAATCTTTATACATGAAATAAGACCTTGGTTTAGATTGAACTGGGTGTCAATTGGTAGGAATTTTGAAAACAGAAAAAAAGCAGAATCCTGGCTCTTCTTAATAAAGATTTATTCCATCCTGTTTTAATTTGATTGTATTTAAATTATAATTTGAATAGATAGGCAAGGACATAAAATACTGTACTAGTCCCAGAGCTGGATCGTAAGAAAGTACATTTACTCAAGTACTGTACTACAATTTTGAGATATTTGTACTTTAGCTGAGTATTCTCAGTTTATGCCACTTTACACTTCTACTTTACTACATTTTAGAAACCAATATAATATGTTTGACTCCACTACATTTATTTGACTGCTTTTAGTTAGTTACTAAGTTTGGGTTTAGATAATTAGCTTTTACACAATTATGAAACAATGATTAAATACATGCTGACATACTGTATATATTTGGTCATAATATCCAGCAGGAGACAGTATATTAAGTGTACTACAATATAAATGTCCCTGCCGTGGGACTAATACAGGATTTCTGATTTCTGATAAGGAGTACTTTTACGTTTGGTACTTTAAAGTATATTTTGATGCCGATACTTTTATACGTTTTATATTTTGAATGCAGGACTTTAACTTGTAACAAAGTACTTTTCAAATTGAGTATTGCCACAAATCTCAGTACATCATGAGCTCCGACACATCCTTTAAGTTTACAGGCTATGGTTACATCTGAGGATTTTTGCAATGCTTTCTTCTTCCACTAAACCCGGAGGGGCGCTGTTGGCAAATCAGACAGCAATGTTCCGAGGCGCTGTTTCTATGTGTGCAATAATACTTCCGGTTTACGATACATGGGCAATGCCTGTCTTCTTTGTCGATTTTATAAACCATTTAGGGAAACATTACACAATTATACAGTTTTGGACTATCTATTAAGCTGCAGCGGGTTCGCTGTAAGTGAAGCCAAACATGGATATCCCCAATTCCCCCGAAGGTGAGCAGAAACGTAACGCTGCTATGTATGAACGCTAGCTAGCACACATGCTACCTGGAGCTACGCTACTGCTATTAAACACAACACATTAGCTGCATTTAGCATCTAACACCAGCAGCTAACGGTGTTGTTACACATTTTTAATCTGTGGGTCTTTAACATTAATGTGGTGTTTAACATGTACATCATAAATCTGCTTAGATGAATATCACTTGAATAAGCATTGGTTAATGCCTCTTATGATTTTCTGAAAGCTTAATATCCAGTAAACAATTATTTAAATGATAGCTTACCTACACTTGACACAACTTTAGTATTCTTAAAGACTCATCATACAATCTGGATGAATACTATTTTGCTGCTGCATGCATTTTCCAAAATTACAACGTGTTTCCTAATCCAAACATGATACATATTGCAGTCTTTAAGTGACACATTGCCTTGTTATTAAACAAAATGAACAGAAAACCAACAAATGGTCCACTTTAAGTACGTAGATGTTGCTTTTTCTCAGTGCGAAAAAGTAATGCAAACTGTATCGGGTTATGAACACAGACAAGGACTTCAGGATTTCATTCAGATTGACATTGATGGCTTTGAGGATTCTGTAAACACCTTTTAAAACGGCTAACTGTAAAAAATAGTTGTTTTCATTCAAGGATTCCTGGATATTTATCTAGTAAAAAGGCTTGTTTGTTTTATAACTGTAATATAATGATGACAAGGCACGTGCTGTCAGGATAAATGTTCATAACGTGTAGTAAAGCACACGTTATGATAAGTTCTTCCTGTCTTTTGCTTAGCATTTTAAGACATTTCACCAACAGTTCTGACTCTTTACTTATTTTCTTTGTTTCTTTTGTAGATCAAGAACTGAAGAATGTAATAGACAAGCTGGCCCAGTTTGTCGCTCGTAATGGGCCAGAGTTTGAGAAGATGACAATGGAGAAACAGAAGGACAACCCCAAGTTCTCCTTCCTCTTTGGGGGAGACTACTTCAGCTACTACAAGTGCAAGCTTGCAATCGAGCATCAGCAGCGTATGTAGTTAATGTAAAAGTCCACAGTCACGTATCTGTCTGTATGATGTTGGAATGTTTAGTTAATTTAGTGTTCTAGATACTAAGTATTTTCAATTGCTATTGAGATCTTAATGTAAAGGATCAATGGAATTTAATTGAAATGTAACTTGTAATAGTTCAAATTTAAGGGATCAAGGAAAATATATTGTCATTCTGCAAACAGGGTAGCACAGAAAATGCAATTATTTTTCTAAATCATTTATTCTATAGATGTTTTTTTTACCAAGTTCCACCCAGACCAGTGCAAAAACAACATCCCCTTTGTATTTTATAATTACCACAGGTTTTTAAAGGGGCCCTATTATGCTTTTGGGGGGTTTCCCTTTCCTGTAGTGCAGTTGGTTTTTGTGCATGTAAATGGTCGGCAAAGGCTTAAATCACAAAGTTCCCTCACACCACACTCTATCCCCCCCGACTGAAACGCCTCCATTGGACTCCGTTGTTTACTTCCCAAACATAGTGACATCACTATGTAACACTCACGCTTCCATTGGCTAGCACTCTAACACACTGTGCGTGAGAGGTTGAAAAGAGGTGCTGCAGCACAGGCAGTAATAAAGCGCATTTTGAACATTAAAGCATGTGAACATGTCAAAGTAAAGGCACACCATTTTACCAAACCATCTCTACCACCCGCAGCTGATGGTGATTCAACTTGGGACCAGCCTCTTTATATTTTGCCTGTTTTACATTTAAACTGAGCGACACACACCAGTTCTTGTCCTACATATACTTCGAAACACGCAACAATACTCCAAGGGAAGGGAAAATGCTCCCTTGGTCAAAGTCAGAAATCCACAGATTAATAATGAAGGTTACATAACATTTGTTTAATGATGTACAGCTGATACACTGCCTGGTAATACTACAGCACGGTGTTGTGTAGGGTTGCATGGAGTTCTTCTGTCAGTAATGTAATAACACTGAAATGTATTAAAGTTTGCTTTCTCCACTTAGATCCCTCTGCCCACGATGGGGAGGAATATACATCTGAAGGTATTTATTTGGAACCAGATGTGCCAGACAAATTCAGAGTTCTATTCGGAAAGTGACATTCTTATTTTTATTTTGCACATTTCTGCTGGACATGATCATATTGATGCTTGAAAGTTTATTAGGTTTGTTTTCCGTTTCCTTTATGTTCTTGATTCGTGTTTTCCTTTTTAATGTGTCAGATATGTTTCATTGATGGTGCTCATCAAAATGTGCTTCATCCTTCCTTTTGAAGCTGGTATCATAAGACAAACAGAAGTAGGCCTAGTGATCCAACATTTCTGTTCTTTGTTTACAAACCTTGGTGAATCTGATTTTCTTCAGGTTCTAACCATATTCTATAATCACAAGCTGCTAACGTGTTTTCTTTTCAGCATTTTCTTTCTTCGTTTTACATTTTCTGTAAACAAACCAGCCAATCTTTGCCTGTTGTGTTTTTTTTGTATACTCTTTCTCTGCAGGGCATCTCCATCTCTCCAGCCTCAACCCCAAAATCAAAGAATTACCAACACCAAGACTTCACATTTTCATATTCCCTGCCTTTTTATTTATTATTGCAGAGATGTACCAAGGCTCCAAAGACGTGGTTGATATCCTTCCTCCACCAATGGCAATGATTGCCCCGCTTCCGAATCCTCCACCTGCTGCACCTTCAATGGAGGACCTAATCCAACAGAGCCAATGGAATCTGCAGCAGCAGGAGCAGCATATGCACACACTCAGACAGGTAACAGCAAGAAAGTCATTGAAGCCAAATAATCGATATTAACGTGGCAAGATAAATCATTAAAGTGAGTTATTTAGGTTACATCTTTCTGTCTGTTCTAAATGTCCCTAGTGGTGGAAGAAGTATTCCGCAATTTTACTTGAGTATACGTAATAATACTGCAGTTTAGAAATGCTCTGTTGCAAGTAAAAATGTGTCATTAAAATGTAACTTAATTATAATTACCAAAATGTTAGCATCAATACACTCAAATTACCAAAGCTAAAATAACTGATTTTGCAGAATGGCATTTTTTGCTATATAAATATTATATAACAGATTTATAATAAGTGATCCATTAATGTGTCTGTCATCTTAAAGAGACCCTTTTATGCTTGTGGGGGTTTTGCCTCCTGTTGTGTGTTGTATAGGTTTTTGTGCATGTAATGTAAATGGTCAGAGGGAGGGTCCCTCTCACTCTCTTCATATATATATACAAAAAATGTGTTGAGTAAAAAGTAAGATATCTACTTCCAAATTGTAGTGTAGTACTAACAGTATAAAATGAAGTATAAAGTAGCATAAGATTGAAATTAAGTTAAGTACCTGAACAATGTATTTAACTACTATACTTAGGTCAAAATTATTTTCGCCCACTGGTCTTCCCTGACAAGAATTTGCATCTTCTGTTTTATTTCCTTCCTGTTAAGCTCCTGTTACACTTAATGACAACAGAAAAGGAACAATGGTTAATAGCATTTTTATTAATGTCTTCTCAATGTAGGAACAAGTGACTGCAGCCATTGCTCTGGCTATGGAGCAGCAGACCCAGAAACTGCTGCTTGAAACCCAGTTGGACATCACAGAGTTTGACAACCTGCTGCAGCCCATCATAGACACCTGCACCAAAGACGCCATCTCTGTAAGCTTGTCAAGTAGAGATTTTTTTTTTTAGATATGCTTATGTTCGTAGATTCCTAAATTCATTTTAAAACGGATGTACATGTGTCCTTTTTTCTGTCAGGGTGGTAAAAACTGGATGTTCAACAACGCCAAGACTCCGCAGCACTGTGAACTGATGACATCACATCTCCGCAACCGCATCACTGCCGATGGAGCGCATTTTGAGCTCTGCCTGCATCTCATCTATTTAACCAATGACGTTCTCCATCACTGGTACACAAACCCAAATACCACTTTACTACTACACTTAGGGCAGGGGTGTCAAACTCAATTTCATCGCGGGCCACATTCGCATAAAGGTTGCACTCAAAGGGCCGGTTGTAACTATATAATATATATATCAAATAATGTATTATATTACATTATTGCCTCTGAATTGGATTATTATCGGATAGGGTAATAACTTAGTAATTAACTACGTCTGAAAGCAGAAGTCCAGGGCAAATAATTGCAAGTCTCTTCAGTGTGCATGTCACAAAACGAGATGCATTGTGGGACATCTAGTTTATGGGAAACCTGCTTATGTAAAGTGGCATGTAACCGTATAATAAACATATTATATTCTTTGCAAGCTCTTGCAGGGCCACAGAAAATGAAGTCGCGGGCCGGATTTGGCCCCCGGGCCTTGAGTTTGAGACCCCTGATTTAGGGAGTGTAATATAGCTCCAATAAGCCTATAATTAACATGATCTCTTATGATGTTAAATGTGTAAAACCACTTACATTTTCATTTATGTCTGATTCCACTGTACACGTATTGAACAAGCATTCATTTTGAGTTACAGGAACCAATTGATGATTAATTACCATGTGAATTTAAATTCAGTTTTTTTAATTTAATAGACTGTATAATGAACCGCATTGAACAAAAGTGAATATAAACACCTGTTCCAGGCCAGCCTTGGTTACATTTTGAACAAATCTTGCATTAAAATGGGTAAAAGAGCATTATAACAGATTAGATGAGAGGTTGGTGTTAAGCAGCTTTCAGTGTATTTCATCTGTAACATGTTTAAATGTGTTCTCACAGCCAGCGGAAGCAGCAGAAGGATTTGTTGGCAGCGCTGCAGAAAGTCGTGGTTCCCATCTACTGCACCAGCTTTCTGGCTGTAGAGGAAGACAAGCAGCAGAAGATCACCAGGGTAAACATCAAGCACATGGACAGCTTTGTGTCCACTAGGAACCTTAACAGATTGCAGGAGCTTTTATTATTATTGGCAGTACAATTATGGAACACTAATCAACACCTTCATAATTAAAAATAATACTTGCATAAAATGTAATTGAATGAATAATATTCTGTCCAGTTTTTAGTTCAAGGCAGTTTAAATGTAGGGCTTGCTTTTGTTAGTTAATGTTGTAGTGGTATGTCAGTTGTGTATGTCTTGATTTTGATCGTACAATGTCAACCAACTTCTATTATATAAATATCTAATTATACAGCGTTTGTTAAAAAAAGGCTCAGGACTTCCTGCCTGTAATGCTATTTATTCATTGAATATTATTAACCCTGAACTTATTTTTTTTTTTGTATTCCCATTCTGCTCCATTCAAGTTGTTGCAGCTGTGGGAAAAGAACGGGTACTTTAACGATGAGACCATCCAGATGCTCCAGAATCCTACACTGGGCCTCGGCCAGTACCAAGTGAGTGGAATAAGATTCAAGGCTCTTCTCTATTGCCTGTGCAAAGCCAGAAATGGGAGGAACTCTGTTATAGTTATATTATCCTAATTTATTTTGTTACTGTTTTGTTTTGTTGTTTTGCACCTGGAGATTTAGCTTTCCTGGAAAATAAAAGCACTAGTGTGTTTTTGTATTGAATGATACTCCTGTGATAGTGGTTAATCTCAATCCCTTGCCCTCTCTCTCAGGCGTCTCTGATCACAGAGTATGCTGCGGTGGTGCAGCCGATCCAGCTGGCCTTCCAACAGCAGATCCAGGCTTTAAAGGCCCAACATGAAGAGTTTGTTTCCAGCCTAAAGCAGCAGCCACAGCCCTCGTCTGTAGCACAGCTAGGAACCCCCGCTGAGCCTGAAAAGACCCTGCCTATGACCACAAAAGCTGGTGAGAAGACACACAATGATACATGACGACAGACTGATTGTTTAGATAATAATACTAGAATTCGCTCATATAAGAATGGGGGATTATAAGAACATTTCTGAATTTTTTTTATGTAATTTGCTATATTTAAAGAAAAATATTCAATGTATGGACTTTTTTTTTTATCTTGTCTTGTTAAGTTTTGCTGTATACGTTTAAGACCTGCTCCAGTGCATGTGTGTTCGCGCTGTAATGTGTTGCTGTGTGTTTTTTGTGAAGGGGATGTGAAGCCGCCCATTTCGGGTCCTCCACAAGGGGACTTTGATGGGGCTCCATCCAGGCCACAGGACCCCAGCAACCCAAGTGGACCCTCAGATATCTCCTCGAACAAGGCTGGGTGGTATGATCCCCAACACATGGGCCCCTGGAACCCCAACCAGCCGGTAAATATGTGTATTTGTGTATGTGTGTTAGTGTGTGCATTTGCTGATTTATAGGGAACAAAAAAGTAAAAAAACTGAAAGTTCATGAGTTCAGAGACATGAGTTTGTGCTGTGCTAGTCTCCAGGGTTAGACCCTCGACTGATGGTTCGGCTCAATGTTTAGTGGGAAGCCCCAGCCCCGCAGATGTGTGATTTAAGGCAGTACTGTGGGATATATTTTGTTGTGTGTATGGGATATATTATATAACAACTAGGGGTGGGTACCGAGCCCCGGTATTAAACGGGCCCCGGGGCTGAATTATTAAAGACCGTGGTACCGTTAAGCTCCAACGTTATTGGTCTTTTTATCGGTACTGGAGACATCTAAAAAAAGATGTTGTATATATTACTGCTACACAAACATTATATTGCAGTTTTAGTGTCGCAAACTCTGTTTCTCCAAAAAGCATGCAAAATGCGTCTATGATTATTTTTAGTATTTTCGATCTTTTCAATCCAGACGAGAGATCTCTCTCTCTCCCCTGTCTGTGTGCGAGGGGGCGGGGCTGTTTACACACACGCAGCTGCTACATTCAGCAACACACACACACGGACGAGATGGCGGAGAGAACGCGCTCCAAGGTGTGGTTAAACTTTACCCGTCTCGATGTGGAGAATGCTCGTTGCCAAAGTGCAATAAGAGTTTAGCATGTAAGGGCGGTAACACGAGCAATGTGTCTAAACATTTAGCAAAAGTGCTCCACATTCAGACGGAGGAATGCACCGGGTTCCACTGTCTTTCTAGCAGCTCTGTAGCTCCATCCACGAGTAACGTTTCCACGTCAGGTGTTATATATGCTAGCAGCAACACAGAGTTAACTCATTATTCAAACATGGGTTAATGATTAGAGGTAACAGTTATTTATTGTTAATGTTTCAGCTATTCTGTGTACAGTTCTGTCATCAGATTATTTAATACGATTTGTTAAAACATTGTTATTTATTTTGATGTGAAATATTATTTATTTAATTTAAATAGTTTTGTTCACAATTTGTTTAGTTAATTTACCTTATTTTTTCTCTCCAAAAGAACCGATAAGAGTACCGTTAAACTAAAAGACCGAATCGATAAGCGGTATCGATTAAAGTAGCAGTACCGTTAAAATTCTTAACGATACCCATCCCTAATAACAACCCTAAGCATTGAAAACATACATGCTCAGAAACGCATACGTTAACTGTTCATCTGTGGAGTGTTCTCATTATGGGAATCCTTGCACCTGTTAAGTTAGGAAGGGAGTTGGCAGATAAAGATAGCATGGTCAGAACACCATTAAAAATGATCAAACAAAAGTATGATTGAATAGGGGAATTCAGGATGGTGGAAGAAACAATGGTGTCTATGTGATAGAGAAAGTCAAGGTCAAGAAGGAGGGCCTGAGAGCCTCCTAGTGTCCTGAGACCCTCCTACACATTAAAAAAAGGCATAACAACTGATTAAAATAAAAGAAGCCTGAAAATTGTGAAGGCAGTCACTCCATGGAACGACTTGTGTTTGCTGTGCTCTGCTAAATCTTCAGTAAACATAGTGTTGTGAAGATCTCGAAGACATCCGGCCCAACTTCAGAGGTTTTTCTAGTACTCATGCTATTTCTGACTCTTCTGTGCTTCACCAGCCTCCTTTCGACCCAAACCAGCCCCCCCCTCCCTGCCCGCCCTGGAACAGCCACGAGGGGATGTGGAACGAGCAAAGGAACCAAGAAAACTGGAGCGGAGGTCCTCCCAGAGAAGGAGGCCCCTGGAGCGGGCCAGGTGGGTCTGACCAAGGCCCTCCATCTTGGAACTCATATGACCAGCAGCCACCATGGGGGAACCAGCCTGACCAGCCTCCATGGGGCCAAAGGGAGCCCCCTTTTCCTCCACGCATGCAGGTTTGTGGTAGATGATCATTGGCTTTGCATTTATTTAACCTGATTTTATTTGTATTTGCCTCAAAGACATGGTTTTGTTGCTGATTGATGATTGTATCTCGTTGCCCAATTTTTACAGCGACCTCCTCATTTCAGAGGGCCTTTCCCTCCACACCAGCAACCACCTCCTTTCAACCAGCCCCCACCTCCACACAGTTTCGGACGCTTTCCGCCGCGCTTCATGCAGGACGACTTTCCCCCCAGACACCACTATGACAGGCCGCCGTACACCCCCCACCGCTTTGACTACGCTCAGGGAGAATTTCCCGGAGGTGAGTTATAAGGCACAAAGTTATTCATCGGGAGTTTCACTTAAAGGGGACCTATCATGCAAAATGCACTTTTTGATGTCTTTTATACATACATATGTGTCCCCGGTGTGTCAGGGAACTGTCACACCGGTCAGTGTCAGAAAATAATACCCTCTCTCTTTTCCTCCGTTCCCAAAAAAAACTAAAACGGGGGTACAACGGTGTCATATCGGAAATGTGGACCCACGGCACTATCAGAAAATTGCTATCAGAAACAATGCCTGGCGTGTTTTGGAAGTAACATGGTCTTTGTTTACATTAGCAAGCATTGCTAACACTCAGAGCTAACCTGTACTGGAGAGAGTATGTGTAAAAAAAAGCAGGAAATAATAAAAGGTACTCACCTTGTGATAAACCTGCAAGAGAAAAAGCATTTGAGCTCCATACTGTTTCAAAAAATAATCCTTGATGTGGTTTGGAACAGGATGGTGTTTAATCACGGCAGAATTTAACTGAGTAACTGCCGGTAGAATTCTGAGCAGGCATTAGCTCCCCCTCCTCTTTGTTTGTTTTTTCAAGCTAAGGACCCATCAGCCATTCTCTAATGGCGCTTTTCCACTGCAGGGCCTCGCACGGCTTAGTACGGTATAGTTAGGCCTTGGTAGGCCAGGCTCACTTTATGCTGCGTTTCCATTACAGTTTAGGAACTGGGGTAGTAACTATAGTAACGCAGTGTAGGTGGAGCCATGGCATCATCTTCAATGCAAACCACAAAACCAACATCAGCCGTTAGCTGTTAGCACTCAAGCTCACAGCTCCTCATATCTGTTCAGAAACTGGACAAAAGTTAAACAAGTACAAACCACTAGTGTTGTCACGATACCAACATTTTGGTTTCGATACCGATGCCAAGTCAAGCATTGCGATTCTGATTATTTTTCGATACTTTTCTTAAAAAAAGGGAAACAGTCTTAAATGTAATTATTGTGCTTTATTTCACACCATAACCAAAACCAAAACTTTTAAACAATGAGAACAATAAATAAAATAAATGACTAGAATTTGTATTAAATACAATTAAGCATCATCTATAAACAACTTTTTTGTTTTTCGCTTCTGGCGTCTTTTTTGTCAACAAGCCGAGGCGCAGCGGCAGTTGCACTCCCACTTGCAGCCATGCTTCTCGTTTTCTCACATGCTCTGGCAGCTCGAGCGTGGCCGCGTGCACGAGAGAGGGGAGGCACTTAGAGCGTGGTTGAGAGGGGCGGGACTGCAGGCACGGCTGCAGTGCAGGGAGTGGAAGCAGAGCGCTGAACACACACGGCTCTTATTAAAACGGCGCTTTCTCACCGGAGTACTTTTCCCCGTCATTCTTAAAGTACCGATACTAATGAAACTGAGGAATCGTACCGTTTTTAACGGCAGGGTATCGTGGTACCTTTCAAGTATCGGTACACCGTGCAACACTACAAACCACAGACTGTCTGTGTCATAGCGAATACAGTCGCTGGTTTATTTATGTCTGTATAGGCCGTTGTTGTGAGTGTGGATGGTCGGAGCATATACTGCATTAGCTTAGCCGATCTCCATTCAGAAAACACACATTTTAAAAGGTTTTTCGCCTGCCGTCTGTCTGCAGACTTGTCAAAGCATTAATTCATGGTTTTTGCTAACCGGTATGTTGTTACTTCGGCATCATTTTGAAATGTGTATTACAATTAAATTAAAATGTTCATTTTGTTGTAGTTGCCAGCGATTCTCTCTCTAGTTTAGCATACTCAGCCCGGTTGTTGGCCCGGAAAGAATCTCGATTTTGGAGAGCCAGAAAACTGTGAAAAAGTACCTGCTAGCCGGAACTACGCCTAGTGGAAACGCAACCAAAAATGGGCCGGGCACGGCACGCTTAAATCGCGCTCCACGCTGTAGTGGAAATGCGCCATAACAGGCCTGGAATAGAGGGATATGAGGGATGTCTAAAATGCATGATCTGTTTGGTATTTTGAGCAAAACACATCATAGACATGTTTTTATATATCTGAGACCCATAATATATGCCTAAAAATAGCATAATAGGAGACCTTTAATGCGAGGCTGGATAAGAGATTGGAGAAGCCAGCATAATAAAGCCAGACCTTTACAATTAGTCGACTGAAAAACCCCAAACCAATGTTGCCTGCTCCTTCCAAGGAAAGAAGCTAGCAGCATTAGATCAAAAAACTGTTGCCAAGTTGGCAAGAATGACAGCCCCTCACATCCCCCCAAAGCCCCTCCCCTACATTAATCCTTATCAATGTAAACATATCATATTGAATATAAAAAAAGCAATTTGAAGTCTTCACAACTATCAAGCTAGCTGCTTGTTGCTGTGATGTGCAAGGGGTGCATGATCATAGTGTGTGTAAGTAGACAGACAGAAAGTGTCATTACAGTCCTGCGCTTCAAATGCATCTGGAAAGAGTTCTGCTTTTTGAATCAGCGATATCACAATCCGCCTTAAAATCTGTGGAAGAGGAAGAGAGCCGGTTAGCATTAGCTGTTAGCATCTCCTGGGCAACACAGTCCTGAAGTCAAAAGCTAATGTTAATGATGCAAGCTTTTGTTGAGTTGAATTATGATGCATTCATGCTTTAATAAGTAAATGAAGTATTGGACAAAGGCTAATTAAACTGTTATCATGGTGTGTTAACATTTTATTTTGTACAATGTCGTTTTTCAGGAAACTTAAATACATAATGTTTTTTGAAATGTCTGGTATTGTGACACTCTGACACTTTTCTTTTTCCCTGTTGTAGAGATGCCAGGTCCTCCTCCCCACCACCATCAAAATCAGAGGCTCCCTCCACCAGGCATGGGGCCAGAACATCCTCCCTGGGGTGGAAGCCAGCACCAGGACTTTGGCCCACCCCCACACGGCTTCAACGGCCATTCCCCACACGTACGTCATCGGCAACATCCAGTGCAGGACGACCCCAGTCTGGTGCCTAACGTCCCCTACTTTGACCTGCCTGCTGGTCTCATGGCTCCTCTCGTCAAAGTAAGCCACCTGATTCTTCTTTAACGACAAGAGCATGACATCAAGTAAGAGTGTTGTTGCTAGAAGACAGCCATGTGATTGAATACTACCACAGGAGACTGAAGAAGTCCTTTACAGAACTCTTTTTAAGAGATCTTAGGAAACAGACAGAGTGGGTAGACAGAAATGAAAAACAATAATAATGGGAAAGGCCAATCACTTGCATTTCTTTTGACCATTGTCGTGGATCCGATATCTTAAACACTCACAACATAACCAAATAACCAAATAGAAACACATTAAAACACAGACACAGAAGTGGTTGAAGTTAAAATATTATATTGTTGTACAACAGTATAAGAGACAGATTACCCTTGCATGACATGAGCAGAGAACATGTCTACAGAAGGAGAGAATATTACAGTATTTATACACCTTTTGAACATGAGTGGAACTACACCATTGGATCTTATGGCGCATTTCCATTACAGTTTAGGAACTGGGGCAGTAACTATAGTAACGCAGTGTAGGCGGAGCCGTGACGTCATCTTCAATGCGAACCACAGAAAACCAACATCAGCCGTTAGCTGTTAGCACTCAGAGCTCACAGCTCCTCATATCTGTTCAGAAACTGGACAAAAGTTAAACAAGTACAAACCACAGACTGTCTGTGTCATGGCGAATACAGTCGCTGGTTTATTTATGTCTGTATAGGCCGTTGTTGTGAGTGTGGACGGTCGGAGCATATACTGCGTTAGCTTAGTCGATCTCCATTCAGAAAACAAGCATTTTAAAAGGTTTTTCGCCTGCCGTCTGTCTGCAGACTTGTCAAAGCATGAATTCATTGTTTTTACTAACCGGTATGTTGTTACTTCGGCATCATTTAGAAACGTGTATTACAATTAAATCACGGTCAAATATGTTCCTTTTATTGTAGTTGTAGCCCCCTTGCAAGCGATTCTCTCACTAGTTTAGCATATTCAGCCCGGTTGTTGGCCCGGAAAGAACCATGATTTTGGAGGGCCAGAAAAATCGTGAAAAAGTACCCGTTAGCCGGAACTACCCTAGTGAAAACTGGAAACGCAATAAAAAACGGGCCGGGTTTGGCACGGCACGCTTAAACCGTGCTACGCGCTGCAGTGGAAATGCACCATTACACAATGATATGTAACACAACAATGTACCTTTTGACATGGTGTGATCATCTACACATGACCTTGCATGGGGAGACTTTGTGTACCATGAGTATACAGTGCATCCGGAAAGTATTCATACCCCTTAACTTTGTTCACTTTGTTATGTTATAGCCTTATTTCAAAATGGATTAAATTCATTTTGTTCCTCAATATTCCACACTTAATACCCCATAATGACAAAGTCAAAACGTTTTTAAAGATTTTTTTGCAAACGTGTTAAAGATAATCAAATAAAATGTCACATGTACATAAGTATTCACACCCTTTGCTATGACACTGAAAATTGCGCTCAAGTGCATCCCGTTTCCACTGATCATCCTTGAGATGTTTCTATAACGACTGGAGTCCACCTGTGGCAAATTAAATAGATTTGACATGACTTGGAAAGGAACACACCTGTCTATATGAGGTCCCACAGTTGACAGTGCATATCAGAGCACAAACCAAGTCATGAGGTCCAGGGAATTGACGGTAGACCTCAGAGACAGGGTTGTATCAAGGCACAGATCTGGGGAAGGGTACAGAAAAATGTCTGCAGCATTGAACGTCCCAACGAGCACAGTGGTCTCCATCATTTGCAAATGGAAGATGTTTGAAACCACCAGGGCTCTTCCTAGAGCTTGCTGCCCAAACCAAACTGAGCAATGGGGGGGGGAGAAGGGCCTTAGTCAGAGAGGTGACCAATGGTCACTCTGACAGAGCTCCAGTGTTCCTCTGTAGAGATGGGAGAACCTTCCAGAAGGACAACCATCTCTGCAGCACACAAATCAGGCCTTTATGGTAGAGTGGCCTGAAGGAAGCCACTCCTCATAGGGCTGCTCAATTAATCGTATTTTAATCGCAATTACGATTATGGCTTGCAACGATTACGAAAACAACGTAATCGAAATAAAACGATTATTTATTTATTATTATTATATATTTTTTTTCTAATTATAATCTTTTTTTGGTTTTTCAGTTGAATTATACTTAAAGTTCAGGGTAATCAACTGTTAAAAACATACTGTTCATGTTTTTTTTCTCCAAGTAAGTAAATGGATAATCGTTTTTTAATAATCGTGATATCAATTATTGACCCAAATAATCGAGATTATGATTTTTGCCATAATCGAGCAGCCCTAACTCCTCAGCAAAAGGCACATGAAAGCCCACATGGAGTACCTAGAGGACTCTCAGACCACGAGAAAAACAAATTGTCTGGTCTGATGAAACCAACATGTATCTCTTTGGCCTGAATGCCAAGCATCATGTCTGGAGGAAACCAGACCTGGCCAACACCATCCCTACAGTGAAGCATGGTGGTGGCAGCATCATGCTGTGGGGATGTTTTTCAGCAGCAGGAACTTGGAGACCAGTCAGGATCAAGGGAACGATGAATACAGCATTGTACAGGGAGATCCTTGATGAAAACCTGCTCCAGAGCGCTCTGGACCTCAGACTGGGGTGAAGGTTCACCTTTCAACAGGACAACGACCCTAAGCACACCGCCAAGATAACAAAGGAGTGGCTTCAGGACAAGTCTGTGAATGTCCTTGAGTGGCCCAGCAAAAGCCCAGACTTGAACCCGATTGCATATCTCTGGAGGGATCTGAAAATGGCTGTGCACCGACGCTCCCCATCCAACCTGATGGAACTTGAGACAATCTGCAAAGAAGAATGGGAGAAACTGCCCAAAGTTAGGTGTGCCAAGCATCATACTCAAGAAGACTTGAGGCTGTAATTGCTGCCAAAGGTGCTTCAACAAAGTATTGAGTTAAGGGTGTGAATACTTATGTTTATGTGAAATTTGACTGTTTTATTTTTAATTAATTTGCAAAAATTATTTTAAAGCATTTTTCACTTTGTCATTATGGGGTATTGTGTCTCGAATGTTGACAAACAAATGAATTTAATCAATTTTGAAATATGGCTGTAACATAACAAAATGTGGAAAAGGTGAAGGGGTATGAATACTTTCCGGATGCACTGTAGTTGGCCCCTTCTCAGAAAACTAAAGGATAAACTCATGGCATGACTTGGAGCACTTTATTATATGTCTATGATTCCAATAACACCATCCTTTGAATGTCTTTTGATCAGCTTGAGGACTCTGATTATAAACCCCTGGATCCTAAAGACATCCGGCTGCCCCCTCCCATGCCACCTAGCGATCGCCTGCTTGCTGCTGTGGAAGCTTTCTACAGCCCTCCATCCCATGATCGGCCACGGAACAGGTACAAACACACCTCAGATATTAGCCAAACAGATGCAAGCACTTTTCTGTCATTTCTGTAAGTTTCGGTGCAGAGATAAATGCACACATAAAGAGTGTTAGATTTATTTATTTGGCTGAATTTTAAACCATATTGAATTAAGAAATGTTTCCAATTCATTATTGACATTGCTTAGAAAAAAAATAAAAATTCAGCTGATTTATTCTATCACAAGCAACATTTTTCATTGAAATGTTTAACAAGTGGTGTTCAATGGTGTTTTTTTTGTGTGACAGATCTTGTTCAACAAATGATGTTGTTGTTATCAATTATGCCCACTCAGATTAAGGCTTTTTTCAGTTCTGTGTTTATATTTAAGGATTAAAAAAAAAAATTTCACATGAACAATGTATACGTTTTGCTATGGCGCACCCTGAAATCCTCAAGTTAGTTTCACTGCTAGCTTCTGATAGCCATCGCTGTAGTCAAAGGTCTTATTCTACAGCTGACTGTTTCGCTGTCCTACAGTGAAGGCTGGGAGCAGAATGGCTTGTACGAGTTCTTCAGGGCCAAGATGAGAGCCAAGAGGAAAAAGGGACACGAGAAACGCAACAGGTGAGTTCCTCTTCATTTGGAATTTTCTGGCTTTGTGGTTGACAAAGACACAAAATGTGTATCCTGTGGAAAATGCCCTTCCTTGGGTCCTCAGCAATGCACCTGCCATGACATTTGCATCTCCTAGTAATGCTAGAGTAAAGGCGTCATTTGGGTGCCAAAGCTAACACAAACATCAACAGAGAGCGAGCTCTACCAAGAATGCTGCAGTGGCTCAGTCAGTAGGGGCTGGGAGCCGTCGGGTCGCTGGTTCAAGTCCCTGAACATACTTAAAATATGGAGTGTGTACTGCTACTTGGAGAGATCCCAGTTGACCTTGAGCAAGGCCACTGGACACCCAACCCCCCCCCCCCCACCTCCCATTGCATCGCTGTACAATAGCTGCCCACTGCTCCTAGTACTAGGATGGGTTAAAAGCAGAGACCAAATGTCACTGTGCGCTGTGTGCATGTATGTGTGACAAATAAAGAGGGTTTCATCCTCCGATTCTATGCGGTTTGGCAGTGGTAGTATTGTAGCAGTGTTGGAAATTTACTTTTTGAGTCGCATAGTATTTATATTAAAGTTTGCATAATCACAGTTCGATATATATAAACTAGGGCTGTCAGTCGATTAAAATAGTTAATCGCGATTAATCGCAAATTAATCGCACATTTTTTATCTGTTCTAAATGTACCTTAGAGGAATGTTTTTCAAGTTTTTAATACTCTTATCAACATATGAGTGGACAAATATGCTTTATGCTAATGTTTATTATCATTTGAACAATGACAAATATTCTCATGAATATTAAACATTAAACACAACAACCTGTGTGTGTGTGTGTGTGTGTGTGTGTGTGTGTGTGTGTGTGTGTGTGTGTGTGTGTGTGTGTGTGTGTGTGTGTGTGTGTGTGTGTGTGTGTGTGTGGTGTGTGTGTGTGTGTGTGTGTGTGTGTGTGTGTGTGTGTGTGGTGTGTGTGTGTGTGTTGTGTGTGTGTGTGTGTGTGTGTGTGTGTGTGTGTGTGTGTGTGGTGTGTGTGTGTGTGTGTGTGTGTGTGTGTGTGTGTGGTGTGTGTGTGTGTGTGTGTGTGTGTGTGTGTGTGTGTGTGTGTGTGTGTGTGTGTGTGTGTGTGTGTGTGTGTGTGTGTGTGTGTGTGTGTGTGTGTGTGTGTGATGGATCGTTGGAGCTATGTGCAACTCCAGGCATATATATGCTCGAACGGGAGCTGCCTGGACGCTGCAATCATGTTGCACTATCCGTGCTGAGTGTGCTGACTGTTCGTACAATGTCCCACTGTCTGGCTTCCTGCATAAAGTCAAGTGCTCAGCGCAGTTGTGGCGAAATGTCTCTCCTCTGTTTTCATTTAAACAGCTCCTTATATCCGTTAGCGCAGCTAGCTAGCACCAGATGCTAACAACAACAATGCACCTAAGGTCTCTCTCTCGCTCGCTCGGGCCACACATACACACACCCTCCCGGTCCTCCAGATGGCCAGTCGGTGCCTGCCGGTGAGCGTGGAAGTGTGGTCTGCCACAAGCGGGCGGCAGGAGCGGGGCTGTCAGCATCAGCTTGTAGATGGTATTTTAAACTCGATGCGCTCTGAAACTACGGGGCGGCCGAGAAAAAAAAAATACACATGTGTTAATCGAGTTAAAATAATTAGTGGCGTTAATTTTTTTTTGCGTTAAATTGACAGCCCTAATATACAGCAATCCATGTCCTTCGTTTTTTCTAAGGAGAAAGTGTAGAAGTCCAAGAAATAGGTTTATTGCGATTAATGGCGATTTTTGTCTCCAATACCATTAATACTGAACTTTTGTTCCAAATGTTACCGGCCACTTGTATTCATTTACCAGCTACATTTTGTATCAGCATTTTGGTGACGTTATGACAATTAAAGATTCCAGAAGGCATCCATAGGGAACATGTCACTGTTGGTGAATTAAGAGACACCTAACCCACATGTTTATGATGTTTATTTTAACCCCCCACCCTCTATGGCTCACTTATATATTTTCAGTGTTCAGGGAGATAGCCGCTCCAGGAGTCCGTCCCACAGCAGAGGCAGATCTTCATCGCGCTCCAGCTCCCGCTCCTCTAAGTCGTCCAGATCACGGTCCCCGCTCGTCTGGGTCCCACTCTCAGAGCCGCTCCCGCTCCTACTCACGCTCCAGGTCTGTAACTACACCCCCCTCACACGGATATTTGTCTGTTGATGTGTAAATATGTGTACACGACAAGGGGCTTTTCTCACTGTTGGCTAGAAAGTAAAGCAAGCATTTGTTGGACATGTTTTTTTTAAATATTTCTGTCTATTTTTCTTACGAGTGTGCCTCTGCCTACCTCTCTTCAGGTCCAGGAGCAGATCCAGGTCATCCCGTAGTCGCTCTCGCTCCAGATCCAGATCCCGTTCACATTCACCCTCCAAGACACGCCATGGCCCCAAAACCCAGAGCGATTCCCCTCCGTAAGCCCCCTTTTCTGTTATTTTAGTACATCTTTTTTAAAAAGACCCCTGTTATGCTTACTGCATTAAAGATGGCTTTCTCTCCTTCTCTTAACAGCTCCACATCAGTGGTGGCAGGCGCTCCCTCCAAACTGCCTGCAGATAGCAGGCTAGGGGAAGAGAACAAGGGCCATCAGCTGCTGATGAAGATGGGTATGCTCTTGCTTTTATTTCCTAATGAACAAGAATAATACAGGTGCTTGAAGGTTTATTCAATCCTGAAATGTACAGGATGTTTAAGGGCACTTGGGATAAAGGAAACCATACCTTCTACTGATTTCTAGCTTTTCTCCTTTTGTTCTGCTGCAGGCTGGAGTGGTTCAGGTGGATTGGGGGCCAAAGAGCAGGGCATCCAGGACCCCATCAAAGGAGGAGACATCAGGGATAAGTGGGACCAGTATAAAGGTGTCGGGGTGTCACTGGACGACCCTTACGAGAACTATCGCAGGAACAAGAGCTACAACTTTGTTGCGCGAATGAAGGCGCGAGAAGAAGGTACCAAGACTTTACATTTTTTTTTATAAAAGGTACAAATTACAATAGGGGATGCTTAAATAAAACACACCGCTGTTCCCCTTAGATGAATATAAGATCAATCTTTTTAAAATTTAGATTTGTTGGTAAGGATGGTGTTTTCAAAAACTATGCATAAAAAAAGAAAAGGGGCAAATGATATGTTTAAATCTTACTGTTTAAAGGGGTCCTATTGTGCTTTTTGGGGGGTTTCTCTTTCCTGTAGTGTGTTATAAAGGTTTTAGTGCATGTAAATGGTCTGCAAAGGCTTAAATCCCAAAGTGATTGAGTTTCTCTTTCACACACACCTCCCCTGCCTCCATTGGACTCCTTAGTGGCATCACTATGTAGCATTCGTGTTTCTATGGGCTAGCGCTCCAACACTTGCGGTCGAATAGTCAAAAAATCAGCTCCTAACGTCTATCCCTATCGTCTATTCCTTGACCTCTGAGTGAAACGTCACGGGGTTAAGGGATAGTGGATAGGAGAATTCAAAAGGATTTAGGAGAAGAGACCGCGGTACTTTAGAGAATCCGAATGCACTTTCACTATCCGACGTGTTTATGATGCCCCAGCGGACGTCATGAATGTGCGTCTGCTGCTGTGGGGAAACTATGGAAACTACAGTTTTCTATACAGCAGACTACAACATGGATGTTCAATAAGAACGAGGGACTACTGTAAACTCATCTAGAGACTCTGCACCGTGCTCTGGTGCTGTTGCTTTATGCTTTATGAACGTGGACAACAGAGAAACATATTCTTCATGACCAAAGTTGGAATTGAAATAAAAAAGGAAAGTGAAACTTATGCTCGTCACCCTCTCCCTCCGGTCCACATTAATACAAACGATCCCAATACGTATGATTGTATGAACTATGAAAATATCTTAAAATCAATACAAATGTATTTATTATAAACGTTAGTCCTTAACACCTATCACTGTGTATATCACCATTCAAACATCTTTTAAAAGTTGAACAAACCCCACACAGCTCAGTAAAGACTGTGAAATGTTGACTTTATTTGATCATTTCAGTAAAAACTAACATTCATATTTCTCTTTTTGATTATAATACTGATGAACGTTTAAAACAAAGCACTTTGGCAACTTACCACATACGTTTTAAAATGCTTAATAAGCACCATAACGTTCATGATATCATTTCTCGGTCATAATCGGTTGTTTCCGTGAACGGCCGAATGTTGTGCGACGGTAAATGCTGCGGCTGCAATGCATTGTGGGGCAGCATTTTCTCCTCTCCTTTCGGTTAGGGAGGTCCAGTGGTTCCTAAGCTAAAGGAGGTTATAAAGGAAGTTTGAAACCTCCTTTCCTTTCATCTAGAGCAGGGGTTCTCAAACTTTTTGTTTATGCGGACCACTATTTATTATCAAGGGTTTTCGCGGACCACCTCATATGCAAACCATACAAATAAGTACATATATAAACGTAGTGTTAAAACGCAGATATTTTTTTATAGTTAATTATAGACAATCAAAAGTAAATTGAAGCCTATCTGATACTTTTGTGACCGGTGTCTGTCTGCGTTGTGTATGTTTCTCAAAGAGGACGGCATTTTAATTAGGTCATCCCAAACAATGCCACAAGTGCGCACGCGTGCAGTGCACTCACAAAACGGGCAGACAGGTCTACAAAAAACTACCGGTATGCTTTAGTTACTGTGCTGCAAAAAGCAGACGGCGCTGCGCTCAACACACACAGACTCAAAACCATGGACACACATAAGTAACATAAACAATGTATCGGCCTAAGTTGCATAAAGGCTTGAGCTACATTATTGCTACTAAGCAGACAGCGCTGTCTCTCTCTCCTCTCTCTCTCAGAGGAGAGAACCTCGTACTCAGAGAGAGAGAGAGGAGAGAGAGATCTCCTAGATGAGGAGAGAGAGAGGAGCTCTACTCTCGAGAGATCTCGATATCGATCGTCTCGCTCTCTCGTCCGAGCTCACTCAGCTCTCCGTCTCTCGTCTCTCTCTCTCTCTCTCTCTCTCTCTCTCTCTCTCTCTCTCTCTCTCTCCACTTTCAAAATCTATTTAAATCTCAAAACAAACTCCCAAATTCCCAAAGTTGTCCTGAAATTAACTTATTAAACGAAACGAAAAATATAGCCTACTCAGGGGTGGATCTAGAAAAATATTCATGGGGTGGCAAGAGGGTGGCAGGAGATTTTGAGGGGTGGCATCCCCTGGCAGAAGTATATGCTGATTTAATCAGCAATTGAATGCATTTTAACTGGACAATAACTGAATGAGTTTGTTTCACTCTTAGACCAGGGGTACCAAATGTATGCAGACTGCTGCAATAAGTACATTAATTAAGTGTCTCATCGATGTTTGTCTGAATTAATATGATAATATTAACAATCATATTATTCCTATCAGCTGTCAATCACTGTTATGATGCGGCGATTACCGCTGTTCTGTTCAGCAAAACGCCTCACAAACTGATTCAGATCCAAAGCTTTAGTGCGTTTTGATTCAATGCTGAGTACAGCCAAACTTGACAGTCTCTTCTCTGTCATTGTAGACCGCAAATACCTCGTTCCTTCCGTCTACAGTACTTGGGTCCGGATGCTTCTCGTTTTGCGCCGTCCTGTTCAAATGAAATCGCCGCCAATCATATTTCCACGCTTGCGCCAGGTCCGGGGGAGGGGTTACAAGGCTCGTGTCTTGTGGTGCATTCACTTGCACTCGGACATTAGAGATTTTCTCTCATAAATGTCCGATGAGCCCAACGACCACTACCCCATTGCCTGATATCATTAGAAAGCTAGGAATCTCCTCTTTCCGACAGTGTATACAGCTCAAAATGTGTCTTCGGGTCAATGCGACTGATTTTGATAGAGCTAGTTACATATGAGGTGGTCCCCGAAAAAAAGTGGATTTTATTTAGCTTTTTTCCACGGACCACCTGCAGTAGGTCCGCGGACCACAGTTTGAGAACCGCTGATCTAGAGAATTCAAACGGCACTTATCATGGCTGCCACTGAGGGACTTCCGGGTCATTTCACTCCGTTAGGAAGGTTCCTAAGCTAAACGGACTATTGGACTGCAACCATAGTACATGATAAGCTAAGGGGCGGGACATCTCTAAGCGGTTGACCAGTCACAAGTGCCGGCCAGCTAACCAATCAGAGCAGACTGGGCTCTGGTTTCAGATAGAGGGTGAAAAGAGGTGCTGCAGCACAGGCAGTCTGAGCTTTATGAACATTAAAGCATGGAAACATGTCACAGTAGAGGCACAAAATACTAATATGAACCTGAAAATGAGCATAATGTCCTCTTTAATCGAGCAAGAATTGGTTCAAATGATTGGATTATGCTTTTTGAATCAATGTACTTTTTGTGAAACACAACATTACTGTGCTCTTTGGATTACGGTCATTAATATTCTCTTTCTTTTTTTGATTCAGTCAATCGGGAAACTCCGGAGGCCCCTCCAACAGAATGATTTCATCAAACATCGTCAGACATCTCCTCATCTTCCTCGTTACACCTCCACCAAGGATCTAATGTTTCACTGCAGTTTTCAATCCAGAGACAGCAGTCTGGCTCCCTCCTCAGAGGGACGATACAAAGTGCCACCACACTTAGGAAGCCTGAAAAGCCGTTTGGTTCACAGTAAAAAGCGTGGGTTAATTTGAATTACAGTCGATTAAAAAATATGGTTTGTAGCACTCACTCTTTCACTCCCAATGTTTCAGACAATGTTGTGAAATGTTTTATGATCAGTGTTTTAGCAGTCTCTAAAAGGAGCAACAGACCTCCTTCATTTTGTAATAACAACTGCTCAGGCAGTCTCAGTGGGATAGCTTCAGAAAAACATAGGACACATGGTTAAACCTTGATAATATAAGCAATATTAGTATTAAGGCAGTGATTTTCAAAGTGTCAACTGTTAATGAAATAAATATTCCAAATAATTTGTATTTGGATTCTATTGTTTTCATTCCTTTCCCTGAATTTTCTTTTGCGTCAGTTAACTCACATTTAGAATATAAAACAAATACAATAAATGCTTTGTATTATTTGAATACAATTTTGAAAATAACAGCTCTTTTAGACATAATTCCCGACTGATTATCCACAGATCCACCAAAAGTGCTCACTGTGGGTGGGGTCAGAATTCTCACTGCTAGATACCTCAAAACTTCTTTAAAATAAAATGTATAAAAGTAAATATAACTAGCGCGAAATAAAAACTATGGTGACTTTTCAATCTTTTTGGCTCTTCAATGCTGTTATTGTGACTTTCTTGTGTAAATCATGCTTTGGAGTTGTTAGTCTGTCCCTTTTCCGTAGTTCTAAAACAAACCCCACATCACAAATCCCTAAATATGAAATCTGTTGTATTTTCTACTCCACAAACACTGTAAAGACATAACCTTAATAAATAGAACTATGACTACAAATGTGCCTTCACTTTCTTAAATATTTATAGAAAGTACATCAATGACATTCATAGGATAAGAAAAGTCTTAAAAGGCCCGTCCACACAGCGGCGTGCGTTGACGCTTGACGGCGGGCGTGTCTGACACTCGACCAACAACCAATCACATGAATCTCCCGCCCCTGACACAAGCAGCGGTTTGATTGGCTAGAGCTTGTACTGGCATATGATTTCATTGGCTGACGCTTCTGCCGAGGCGTCAAAAGTTGAACATTGCTCAACTTTTGCAGCGAGCCACGCCAGCGACGCTCTGCGTCGCTTCCCACGATGCAGTTCGGCTAAAAGTGACGTCACCCCATTCAAAGTGAATGGGCAGAAGCGTTGGAAGCTTCAACGCACACCGCTGTGTGGACGGGCCGTTACTCTTAATGGGAGAAGCCCATTGCTGACAGAAAAAGATTACAAAGAGTTAACTGTTAGACTCAGTTAAGTTACAGTCTCAATGTTTGACTTAAATATTCAAAAGTGCTGTAGTATACTTATTTCATAATTCAGACGGCTCCCACTTCTTCTCCATAAATCACCAGGGCCTTTGTTCATGTCACTCTTGAGAACATTTTTTGTACTTGTACTTTGTGAATAGAGGTTTTAAGAATTGTAAACTATTAACATTACAAATGAGATTTTTTGTGGGGAAGGGGCATTGTTAGTCAGCCCCGGCCTGTTGCATGTAACACTGAAATCAACTGTTTAAATGAGGGTCCCTGCACATGTTTTTACGGTTAATGATTTATTTCCCCACTGGAATTGCTTTAATACATCTTATTATCTTATTATCTCGCTTAATAAAGCATTATTAGAGCTTATATAGACATAATGAATAGTATCTAAACCTACAGCGTGTCATATTCACCCATCTATTTAATTTGTAACAATAACAATCTGTATCCTTATTTTGACAAAAAAAGCTTTATGATATGATCATTTATTAATAATTAAATGCAAGCACATTTCCTCACGTCAGATATGATATAAACAAATGAATCTGCAACAGTCAGCTTCCATCATTACTCCACCTAGTGGATGATTAAACCATTACATGTGATACCAGGGGTGGACTGGCCACCTGTGTGTTCTGGGGAAGCACAACATTTTATATAGATTTGTTTCCTTTAATTTAACATCAACATTTGTGTTTGACACTGAGATGCGGCTAATGCTAATGCCAGGTAAAGATATTTTACATAATAGTATGGGATTATATTTCACCTCACATAGGGGGCCGTACACACGCGTTGTCCACTATGCAAAAAAAAGTTACTTTTTCAATTTGGAAAAAGGCTATGATCCACCCTCCATGTCTCCTTTATCAAAAAGCAGAATATAAAGTTAGATACTTAAAGCGCACACACTAAAACCTACAGTGGCCAGACATTGTTTCTGCCTTCACATGCGGCAGGGCTGTGAAGGGAACAGGGGCGGATCTACCGGGTTGGCATGGGGTGGCAACTGCCACCCTAAACAATAGCCTTGCCACCCCAGTTGGCATCTTTGTTTTGAAAGAAAAGTTGTGGCTCATCGGACATTTATGAGAGAAAATCTCTAATGTCCGAGTGCAAGTGAATGCAGCACAAGACGCGAGTCTTGTAACCCCTCCTCCGGCCCAGGCGCGAGAGTGGAAATATGATTGGTGGCGAATTCACTTGAACGGGGGGACGGCGCAAAACGAGAAGCCTTTCGGACTCAAGTAGACGGAAGGAATGAGGTATTTGCGGTCTACAATGACAGAGAAGAGAATGTCAAGTTTGGCTGTACTCAGCATTGAATCAAAACGCACTACAGCTGTTGATCTTAATAAGTTTGTGAGGCGTTTTGCTGAACAAAATAGTAATCGCCGCATTCAGCTGTAATAGGCATGCCAACTTGATGCTCTGCTCACGGATGACTCGATGAGAATAACAAATTGTTAAGATGATGACCTTGTATGCGTGTATATATATTTTTTCTTTGTGGGGTTCTGCCCCCAAAAAACAGTTTTAAGTCCTGAGAAAGTAAAATAAGACGGTGTGTAAAACTACACTGCCCAGCCAAAAAAAAGTAACCACTTTGATTTAACTAGGCCAGTAGGTAAGGACCTTCCACTGGATAATAACTGCAGCGATGTTTTAGCTGAATACACGTTTTTTAAGCCTAACTGATGCAGTTAGTCACTTCTTTAATATTTGTTCTTTCTGATGTAAAGTCAAGGTTGTAACTGTATATCAATAATGATATAATTACTTGTTTTTCAAATTTGAAGGAGGGTGAGCAAGCATCTTGATGAACATTCATCATTAACTCCTCCAAAAAATATAGTTTATTCAATACTAAATGAATATGTGAATCATAACAGTTCTTCACTATATCTGTAAAGCGTCTTTGAGCACCTGTAAAAGCGCTAACAAATTAAATCTATTATTATTATTATTATTTATTAACAGTGATTGACAGCTGATAGGAATAATATGATTGTTAATATTATCATATTCATACAGACAAACATCGATGAGACAATTAATTAATGTACTTATTGCAGCAGTCTTCATAGATTTGGTACCCCTGCTGGTCTAAGAGTGATACAAACTCATTCAGTTATTGTTCAGTTAAAATTCATTAAATTACGTCTGCCACCTTATATATGTAAGGCTTTACTGATGTGCCACAATAATATCACCTATGTCATTGAGTTAAAATATTAATATTGTGGCTTTCCAAGTTAACATTGATTGTAGGGGTGTAATGGTTCACAAACATTTCGGTTTGGTACGTACCTCGGTTTTTAGGTCACGGTTCGGTTCGGTACGTTTTCGGTACAGCAGAAAAAATTATCACAAAACATTAAATATATATATATTTTTAATTATTATTAAACTGTGAATAATGTATTCAAATAAATACAAAATATAATAAAATAAACATTAAGGTGCAGCATTTCGATGAACTGAAATAATCTGTACTTGAACTGTACTGTACTAGCACCTAAGCAGCCAGTTTGACATTAGGACTTGCTTGTCATTGTATTTTCATGTTTTTTTAAAGAAAAGTTAACTTGTCCACTTCGCATTGCTTGCCGAAAGGGCAGATCTGCTGGCACTAACAATGTCTCCTGCTCTGGAGAACACCCTCTCGCTAGGGACAGAGGTAGCAGATACAGCCAGATAGCGCTTTGCTAACACGGCAACATAAGGATATTTGGCGTTTGTAATAGCTTTGGCTCGGTCTGAACTTTTTGCGAGTGGTGGAGGCTTAAATGCTAGTGGGAGTTGGGTTTGCACTTCAGTCTTTTTTCTTTTGGTACCGGTGATATTCACGTTCGGGTGATGCCTTTTGAAATTAGTGTGCAAGTTTGATGTATTGCCAGCCGCGTAACCAATTTTAGTTGAACAATGCCAACAAACAGCTTTGGTTCGGTCCACCTGTCTTTGCCCGTCATCCTTGTACGTAACTGCGAAACCAAAATGTTCCCAAACCGGAGACTTCAATTATGCTGGAGGATTTTCGAGCTCAACTATATCTGCGTTCGCCATTTCGACAGTTCCTCAAATGACTGACTACATTTGAACGTATCCCTCTGACCAGCTCTCATAGTATGCCTCTCGTCCAATGAAATGACTTGCTCGCTCTATGATATATACCTGAGATTACTTCTAGAAAGTTGTTCATGTTCTCAATGTTTTACGTTTAACGCTATATTCGTTCGGTACACACGTGTACCGAACCAAAGAGCCCGTACCGAATAATTTCAGTATGGGTACGTGTAACGTTACACCCCTAATTGATTGATATGATTGCGATTTAAATCAGCATATACTTCTGCCAGGGGATGCCACCCCTCAAAATCTCCTGCCACCCTCTTGCCACCCCATGAATATTTGTCTAGATCCGCCCCTGGAAGGGAAGCAGCTTTTACTATAAACCAGATGTGGGCCCGCAGACATTGTGAGAATTACCAAAACTCAGTCATAGATCAATGAATTCAGACTGCTTTATTGACTCCTGCTGTGCCAGTTCTGGTTTGTGAGTGTTAATTACTACAATAAATACCAGTAAACACTACACACCTGCATGGCATGCCACCATTGTTGTGTTCCCAGAGTCCAGGGCTGGTTTTCAGTCCCCGATTTGGATTGATAATGTGAAATATAATCAACACTTAAATCAGACTTTAGTTCCACCTGGAGTAAATTCACAAGTTACCCTGCAGTAGGCTATACAAAGTCATTACAACTAGCTGCACCTTTACCAGCTTTGAGAACATTTTAATGCATCAATAATCATGAGTATTCATACACTCTGGTACGTTTACTTACAGTAAGTACAAGTACAAGATCTGAGTACTTCTTCCACCTCTGCTGCTAAGCCTTGCCTAATTGCCAGAGGACGCCTCATGCCCCTGACATTTGGCCAGCCAATGTAGCAAAGAAGAATACTTAGAAATAAAAAACACAGATTTTTTTTAAGTAGCCAAAAAACATGTTGACTATGTTACAGAAACAAGGGCAAAGTCCACTCCTTCTCCCTGTGCTCTCAGGGCGAACTAAACAGAAAAAGTGAGACAGCGCTGAGATCAAAGAGCCACCGTCTCCTGATCAAACAGCCTCCCGGTGGAAAACACACAGGCTTCCAGTGTTTGTAGCTTACTGGTGGCTGTGCTCCTCCTACCAGGCTGACAGTAGCTGCACACACCTGTTACAACTGCACAGGAATGTGTTTGTTTTGACTGTTCTTCAGGCCTACTGAACATACAAGCAGCGGTGGGAAAACAACACTGACCCATGTAGCCTTTTAGC